AAAAGTGGCTCCCTTCCAAAAAATCTATAGCAGATTACATCACTACTTACTTGTGGGTTCCCTGGACATCCAGTATCAGCCTTTTCGTGTTGACTCATAGCTCTCCTGGATGACAGGCATTCATATTTTAGCTAACTTTTGCTAGATACCCATAGTAACTCTGTGTTGTCTAAACATAAGCTGGGCCACAGGGCCCTCTATTCTGACAGTAGCGTATGGGAAAATCTCCATGAACTTTAAGTGTTGTCACCAGTATTTCAAACTGAAAATGATTATCTGATAACCTGTGTTTATGACATACACAGGTAAATGTCAAGAGTCCCAGGTTTGGGGATTTCTGTGTTGGTGATGTCTAGTTTTGATCATTTATAGCTAAGACTGATTATTTAGGTAGGGATTATTTGTGTTTTAAAATCTAGACATCAGACCCCTTGTATTAGGTTGTAAGCTGATGCAAACTTGGGTTTTGAAGTATTGACCCATCAGCTTTGAGTGCACTAGACCAGACCATTATAATTCCTGTGTAGCGGGGAGTCTGTGCCACCCATGTTTGTTAAACCCTTGCCCCTCTCCTGCCTTCTTTCCTTGTTGCTACTTAAACGAAAACGATCCTTATAAAGAATGCCTTATCATGTAAAGTGCAAAGACCTGTCAGAAGCTGAAAAGCACAGATGAGAAAATTCGAGTTTGCATCTGTTTAGAACCAATAAGTCGAACCTATTAGTAGGTGACTCCCACTAGCGGCGTGATATTCTAGGTCCGTGGCACCGTTTGCTTTTTTGAGTGCATTAGGAAAAGGTTCCCTTTACAAAAGTCGGCAGGCATCTGAGCACAAATTGGTAGACAAGCTTGGGCCGCCTCCGTACCTCAGTAGCTCCGCCTCAGCCAGCATCCTTGCATAGGTACAGTCTATTCACTGCATGCCCTGTGTGTTTGTGGTGAATTTGCAGAGCACCATGAAAATGAATTCAATCTTCAGCTTCTAGGGAAACACTTTGTTTCTCTCTCCTTCCAGAAGGCTGTAAATGACAGACCTCAACGGACGGCGAATCCTTTCTGTGTTTGCCCATTGAATTGGGGCTGGGATGGCATTAAGCTGGCAAATTCCACATTTGATACCTTCTGTAAGTAGTGTGGGCTTCTCAAGGCATCTGTGCTGCTAAGGATCATTGTAGGTCACATGTAGCAAGAGTATGTATTGTTCAGGGGAGCCCAGGCTGCCAAACGTCTCACTTGGCCTGCTAGTAAACTAAATCCATGAAGCCAGGGTATGTGAGAGGGTTTGAGTTTATGTAGGTTGAGGTGAGATGCCTGACCCTCGGGGCAGTCATCGACGAACAGGGGAACACCGAGAAGAAAGGGGGGGCAAGGGACACCAAGAATGGACAGCAAGACAATATTCTGATCAAGCTGACAAATTTTATTTTCTTAGAGGAGGCTTATGTAGGACCATGGGCAGAATGTGAATGGGAGGGTTTGCACATAGCCAGGGCATGGGCACTGGCATGTAGGCAGAGTGAGAATGTCAGTAGAAGGAATACCCTAAATTGTTTAGCTAACCTGTAATTGGCTGTTAATTGCAGCAGGAGAGATAGCCCTGAGCTATTCTTTAGCTGGCTGTGAAACTGCAAGCCTGTACCTTGGAATGTTCTGGTGAACATCCTGTTTATTTCTTAAGAGGCAGTAATTTTCTATCTCAGAGACCTGAGGTTGTGAGGATGGTGATGGTCCCCAACAGTGAGGAGGACTCAGGGGGACCCTAATTGAAAGCACATCTGTAAAAGGTGATTTGGTAATGGTTGGTTGAGCCTTCCTCCTCTCTGCCTTAAATGTAAGCAGACTGGATCTGTAGCAGAGACCGCAGACCCAGGTCAACGGTAAAAGTGGGCTGGAGAAAGACAGACAAAACAGACCAGCCTGGCCTTCCTCTGCACAGTCACAGCAAGTGAATGAGACACCACAGGCACTGATAGGGACAGCGAGCGACCGACCGCTCACAGCGGCAGTGTGGTTAGGCAGTGTCCAGCATGCAGGTCATGTAAACTCCTGGGGAGCCATCAGCATCAGGGACGTGGGGACCTGGGGGAGAGTTCATTCTCTAACCTGCTGCAGGTTCTGAATGGAGCTCAGGTGACAGCAGGCAAGGACTAGACAGGCCTAGGAGGCAAGATACGTCCAGGCAAGTTCGCCTTGCCTCAAAGGATGCTAAGCAAAATGGAGCCAGCATCGTCACCTGTCACCTTCGCATCCTTTTATTCTGATTTCAGGCTCAGCTTTGAGACCCTTTCAGGAGTGTACCGAGTGCTGTTCATCAGGGGGCTAGCAGGGAGCTTGCCGTTGCTCATCCCTGGCCCTGGACGCTTACCCAGACTCTTCTCTTGGTGCCTCTCCATCCATGCTTTTATGCTTTCAGTATCTCTCCAGCCTGCGGCCTTCTCCTCTGTAGCTTCTTTGCCTTTCCCAGGTCTTGTCAGCCCCTTCTGTGTTCTGTATGTAGCCCTTCGTCCTTTGCTGCCTTCCTGGGGCAGGGTGGAGAGGATCCAGCGCACAGACTCACATTCTGACTCTGCTAATTCTGCTGATGCGTCGGTTTCCCTGGTACCGCCCGATTCCCAATTATACGAATGCAGATAAAAGGGCTGAAGTGTTTGGAGCAGTTTCTGACTCCTGCCCTGCCGTGTGCTCAGCCAACATTAGCTCTTATTTAAATGTTAGATTATGCATCTGTTCCTTTCATGTAATACTTCTGGGGCCTGGCTCTGTTCCTGGAACTTCTCCTGTCAAACTGAACATTGTTACGCGAGTAACTTGTCACTTTTCATAGTGATGAAGTTGTATTAGGTGTTCTCCTCACCTCCCGAACTGATCGGGTATGTCTGGAGGCCCTGAGCTTGAATCTGTCTCAGCACGTGTATCTTATATGTCTGTGGTACGGAGGGTGTACCCCCAACTTCAGGCATCGTAGGAAGCAGGAGAGGCTTTGCTGGCAGCGATTTGAAAGGGGCAGAACGTACACAGCAAAGGCACAGGCTGGACTTGTATTCTGCCTCCCATCTCTTGCTTTCTGCCACAGTTTCCCCCTTACAAAAGGGAAATATTAATAGTACAGATGTAGACACATACATAGATACAACGTGTCTTCTTCGGTTGTCCTTGACCTTATTTTTTGAGTCAGGGTCTCTCACTGACCCTGGAGCTTGTCCTTTTTGGATAGACTCTCTGTCTAATGAACCCAGAACCTTCCATCTCTGTCGCCCCAGAACTGGGATTACATGCAAGGACTGTTGTCCCCAGATTTTTTTTAAATATATATGTGTTAGAAATTAGACTCAGGTCGTCATACTTGTACAGTCTGGACCCTATAAAACCATAACCCCCCACCCTTACCCCGAGTGTTTTGTTCCCTTCTGGTTCCAGCTTTTGGTATGCAGAACGGTAAAGAGAAAACCATGCCCCTGTGGTCTCCAGCCTCATTTCAACGATTCTGGGAGGAAGTCTACGTAAAGGTTCCTTTAGGAAATTTTAGGGTTTGAAGTTTCTGGAAGAAGCATTCACCAGAGCTGCAGCTGTAGTTGGGTGTGGGGGGGTGGATTTGGGTTCTGAAGGGGCAGAACTGAGAAATGCACCGCTGGATTCTCAGGATAGCTCCGTCTCCCGTCAGAGTCATGGCAAGGGCAACATCTAAACCTGACTCTGCAAAGCCATTCAGGGACAGCCAATGTGAACCCTGCTGTGGCAGCGCCGTGACTCTGGCTGGCTTCATGCCAAACACTCGGCTGTGGTTTCAGAAGGGAGAAAGAACACAGAGCAGCTCTAGAAAAGGGGCCTATCCAGAACTTGTTACCAGCAAACTTTATTGGGTGGCTTCGGCCCTGCTCGTTGTCTCCAGCCGCCCAGCGCTTGGATAGCCAGTTCTGAGCACAGATCACTTCCAGAGAGTCTTATGAGCCAGAAAGAGGAGGAAGGCTTTTTGAGTAAAGCTGTCCCTTCTCTGCAGTTGCAAAACACTTGCCAAACTGCAGGGGCCACACATCTTCAGTAAGCAGACTCGAGGTGGACCTGTCTCTGCGGGACACTAGCCCACTCCCTTTTACTGTCTGGACCAAAGTTTGTCTCCATTGAAGATCCCTCATTCAGACACAGATCTTAAGAGAAAAATCCTTTGAGGGAAGAAGCAGATTAAAGGGGTTGGAAAGAGCTAAATGAAAAGGGTTAGTGAAAATAAGGAGGGGAATGCTGAGGGATTGTCTGATTTCAGTTCAACCTCTGTCCTCCACTTTTGACTAAAGTGTGCAAGCCTGAATGGAGGGTCATATGGACCCTTTATGTGTGTTCACAGGGGCCTGTTAAGCTCAGCTCTTGCCTCTATGTCACAGAAGCCAGCCAGTACCATTCACAAAGCTGCAGCTCCTACTTTGAACCAGTGGGGATCATGGTGGATGCTGGGTCCCCGTTGATATCTGACACCGTCCCCCCTCCCCCAAGCTGCCATTTTTGCACTCTGATTTGTTTCCTAGGACAGAGTTCTTCAATCCACCCCAGAAGCACGGTGTATTTTACTTCACATAGTCTTGGCATCCTTGTTCTTCAGGGGCAAGACAATCGTGAGATGTTTTGTGGATCGAAGACATTGTGTCCCTCAAATTATATAAAGCGGATAAATGTAAATTCTTGTTATCAGAGAGCATAGGTTAATCAGGGGCAAGCGGGTAATATTTATAGCTAACAATGCCAGGTCCTGTTCCATTTATTGTCTCCCGTTTGTTCCTTACACCGTTCGCACAAAGTAGATATTATTGCCTTTTAAATGAGCAAAGTATATGTGCAGAGAAATGAAGAAACCTGTTCCCACTTTCCAAGTTGCAAGGCGCAGACGCCCACATGCTCGGGCTCCAAAGCCAGGCTCTTGGTGTCTTCCCAGAGCTCAGAGTCTTCAGAGAGAGGAGCATTGTGCTGTAGGCGGTTGCTCTCAGATGCTAATCTTTCCTTCCCTGTTTCAGGTGTCTGACAGGAAGCAGCAATGGGGATTTCCTGCTGACCCTGAGACCGTTTTTAAAACGGGCCGTTTTGGTCGTCAGTTATGTAAGTATACAGTGCATACTTCTAATATAGCTAGTAAGGTTGTTTTCACTTAGCCTCGACTCAAAGGCACGTTCCTCACCACTTAATAAGCCCGCTACCAACGTCATCTGGACAGGAGGGTTACGGGTGGTGAATGTTGCCTTTGAGCAAAGGTGTGTGGGAAGCCATACGTGGGAACCTGATGGCGTATCGGGGACCACACAAGTCCCTCTCAAAGTGTTTCCAACGTGACCTGGGTGTGTCAGCGTTCTGCTGCTGGACACGAGATCCAGAGTCCTGGTGTCCAGAGGCATAGACAGACACGGCTACCTGCCGCTTGTCCAGGCGGCCGGCTTTAGTTTGCAAGCTCAGCCGAGAGGTATCCCGTGTCACGATTCGGGGCCAGGGTTACCCAGGAAGGGGAGGGATAACTGACTCCACTTCTTGGTAGAGGATCAGAGATGGAAGGCACGTAGGCGGATATTTCATCGTGTCTTCTCATCCCCTCCCCCCCCCCCCAGGTGACTGTCATTTTGTGTTTCCGCCTGTGGATAATGGGAGGAGCTATGCCCCTCTTCTCAGAGCAGGACAACCCAGCTTCGTTTTCGCCTTACATCCTTACAAGGTCAGTGGATGTGCGTTACGGGGACTTTATTTGGTGCTTAGTGGTTTCGCTGGACATTCTCATTGCCGTAAATCAATTGTACAAAATAACAGGCCTCACTACAATGAGTTCGTACATATTGGATTCTGCCCAATAATATTAAATCACAGGCCAGCTATGCATTTCGAGGAAAAATAATCATGAACTAGCATGAGGGTAGGAAGGGAAGCAAGGTTCATATATTTGGAATTCATTTCAGCCCGTGTGAGCATCTAGACAGGGTTGTGGCTGTGATTCTCACTGGCATGTATTTGTTTACTCGACAAATATTGCTTTAGATGGTTATTGTCTGTCACATCTATTGAGTGGCCTTTAAAACAAGCATTGTAGAGCAGAGCATAAAGATGTGGGCAGACACTGGTTGGGCAGCGGGACCTAAAATCCAGGAGTCTCAGAACGATGAACAGAAGGGAACAGCATTTGGAAAGACAGTGCTAATGGTTCCTTACACGTCCTCAGATGCTCTGGAGATGCTGAGTTAGGAAGTGATGTTGATGAATGTTCCTGTGTACTGGGAAGATGTTTGACTTCTTATCTGCTGCTTTGTACTGTTAAAGCTTTAAGATAAATCACACTTCCAATTTTAAAAGCTTCAGATTATACTCCCCATGGTGTTTTAAACATGAAAATGTCATGTTCAACCATTTTTATGGTTATATTTGCTGTATCTTTTAACGTTATATCATTTAATGATAAATTTACGGTAGTAACCCTTACTATTTTGGTGTATACATTTTTTGGTAATATATTATAAAACATGGTAAATATTTTATCTTCAGATAGGGTTTTACTATATAGCATTGGTTGACCTTAAACTCAAGATCCTCCTGCTTTGCCCTCCTAAATGCTAGAATGACAGGCAAGTCTCACCACCCTTGACTTATGATAAATATTTTTGTTGTTGTTGCTTGTTTGTTTTGTTTTGTTTTGCTGGAGACGGGGTTTCTCTGTGTGGCCCTGGCTGTTCTGGAACTCACTGTGTAGACCAGGCTGGCCTTGAACAAACTGAGGTACTCCTTCCCCTGCTGTAATTAAAGGCGTGTACCACTGCCACCCAGCGACTTATGATAAATCTTAAACTAGTCTTGATGAGTAACTGACTTATAGTTGGACTTATTTGTATTTCTTAGAGATAACAGAATTTTGACTTTAGTTTTATGTCAACCCTTGTCCTATCCGCTTAGCATACATTTTAATTAATAAACTTCATTACTTGTTTTTTCCTGTATGGTTTTTCTTATAGTTTGTGAGATTTTCCTCTTTTTATTCTTGAACTTTTATCTGTATATTTTATCTCTTGGTGCTGAGGATCAGTTTGGGGCAAGTCAGTGCTGTCCTGAACTACACAGCCCAACTATTTTAGCTCTCCGAAAAGATACCTTCCAATCTGACTGACATGTTTTTATAATAAATACTCTATCAAAACTGCTCCCACTACTTTGACACCCGGTTGTGTTAGTGGTCTTGAGTACTGTTTCCTAAATCTCTGACTTAGCTTACCTCTTAAGTAGTATTAGAACTTTGTAATGTTGTTAGTGTTGTACGTTTTTTGAAACGTTGTTCAGTCTTAAGCTTGCCGTCTGAAACTCAGCTCCGTGGTAACAGCCTGCTCCTTTTGGATCTCGCTCACTGACGCGCAGGCTCCAGGCTGGGTTGTGGGTATTTTCAGATGTGACGTTCATGGATGAACAGTTCTGGTCTCTGACTTCTTCAACAGCTACTCTCCAACTCTAAAGAGGAAACAGTACATCAAATCCTGTTTCTGCCCACTGTGGGCCCACTGTCTTCGTTTAGAGTTATTATTGTCATAGAGAGACACCATGACCACAGCAGCTCTCACAAAGGAAAACATTTAATTGAGGCTTGCTTGTTCATTTTTGTGGTAGGAAGCGTGGAGGCATATGGGCAAATGTGGTGCTGGAGAGGTAGCGAAGAAGAGTTTTGCATTTGGATGGGCAGACAGCAGGAAGTGAGGGTGAGCCACCGGGCCAAGCTTGAGCTCCTGAAACCTCACAGCCCACCTCCAGTGACAAGGCCACACCTTCTAATAGTGCTGCTCCTGCTCCCTGGTGATTAAGTATTGGAATCTATATCCATGGGGGCCGTTCTTATTCACACCACCATGCCCATCCCTCAGCTTTGAGACGGACGATGCCCTCTAATTTTGGGATGTTATTCCTTCTGCTATAGGGTGGTGTTGTTTGTCTTTGGGGTGATTTCCTGCTAAGCTTTCTGGCTATGAATTGAGGCAGCTACTCCCGGCTGCTCCACGAATTGAGCCAGGATGAGGAGATGAAACAAATAATCCTTCCTGGCTGTTGTTTGTTTGGGTTTTTTGTCTTTTCCTCTATTTCTTTAAGGGAGCTTCTTGTTTCCTTTTAAAGTGCCTCTGTCATCTTCATAAAGTTGTCTTTAAGGTCATTCTCTTGTGCTTCAGCCACATTGGAATGTTCAGGTCTTGCTATATCACAGGATCGCTGGGTTCTGGTGGTGCCATGTTTCCCGTTCCATTATTGATTGTGTTCTTACACTGGCACTTAGGCGTCTGGATTTGGGACGGTTATCGGTCTAGGTGTTGATTGCTGCCTTTGCATTTGTTTTTGTTGGATGGGTATTTTGTTCCTTCATTTTCTGTTTTTTCTCTCATCTTCTGGCCCAAATGGGCGAGGGTTCTGGTGTCTGGTGAGTCTCCAGGTCCAATAGGGCATCTGCATTAGAGCTTGGGGAGCTTGGCTCCCTCGATCCAGCTTGGCCTCTGATAAAGCCGGTCTTCTTCTAAAGTTGTAGACCAGAATATGGAGTTCAGGGAAGGGGGGGGCTGTTCTTCTGGCTGCTGTGAACTGTACCTGGGCCAGAGGGGTCTGCTGAAGTTGTGAGGAAGGGTTGGTATTGGGGAGGATGATGAGGTGGGGAGAGTTTTGGGGTATCAGAATCCAGGGGGTAGCGGCAGTCCAGATGGTTGGGTGGGTCACTCACTTGCTGGTCGCCTGGTGAGGACCGCAACAGAGCCAAAACAAATAGTCCTGAGGGACTTTCAAAGAGCATCTAAGCCTGGATGGAGAAATGGAACAAATACTCAGGCGACATGGAAGGAGAATATGCTGCTTCAACTCGCCAGCCGAGTGTGTCATTCAGGTCCTACGCCACCAGCAACACCCGTGCCCGCCCGCCTGCCCGCCCGCCCGCCCGCCCGCCTGCCTCGGGATCCTAGTGTCTGGATAAAGCACTTGATCTCTGATCATGGCCTTCCTAGCTGTACCATCCCAGTCATCAAAATGGCTTGGGTTAAATATTTGCCAGGTCTCGCCAGTTAGCCACAAGATACAAGTGATTTTCCAGTGAGGTCTGATATACATCGCCAGCAGCACTTCCCATCTAACTCGGGGGAATCAGTGCACACAAGGTGATAGAATAGAGTAACATAGCCCAGTAACCGCTCGCCTACCTCTTCTGCCTTCTCTCTCTCTCTCTGTAGCCCAGGCTAGATCCAAACCCATAGCAATCCTTCTGTTTCAGTCTCCCAGGTACTGGGATTACAAGCAGGTGCCACCATGCCTGGCTACATTTTTTTCCTTTCAAGTAACGGATTCCCATTCTCAAGTTTCACACTTCAGATATACATGTTCCCCGGGGAAGTCACCGGGACAGGCGATGGCAGCTGTCCATTCCTCCACCACACCACCCGGGAGGGAGGACACACTTTGCCCCCAGCCTGCTGGTGCTTCTCCACGGAGCTTCCTTGGTGTGTCTCCTGATCACCTACCTGACTTAGCTGTGATGTGGCTGCCTCTATGAAGTCTGTCAGTCGCCTCTGGCTCCAGATTTGTCGCTGGCTCTGTCTGTCTGCCTTAATGAAACGTTCTTCAGCATTCAGTCTGCCAGGACTGACAGAACAATGTGGGTCTCGAGCCACAGACATAAGCCCTCCTAGTTCTTCAGGCCGGAAGTCCCAAACCAAGATCTGTCAGAGTTGGCTTGCGGTGACATGTCTGGTCCTGTGACTCACTGCAGTGTTCCTCCCAAGTTCTGGTGTGTGTGTGTGCTGTGTGTGTGTGTGCGCGCGCATGCATGTGTGCGTGTGTCTGTGTGAGTGTGTGCATGTGTACGTGCATGTGTGTGTGTGCAGTATGTGTGTGTGCATGTGTGCAGTGTGTGTATGAGTGTGTGTGCGTGTGTGTGCATGCTGTATGTGTATGAGTGTGTGTGCATGTGTGCATGCATGTGGAGGCTTGAGGGTATCTTCAGGTGTCTTTTTTCCAGTGCTATTTACCTTATTTGTTTGAGGCAGGACCTCTCACTGACTTGAAATAGGCTAGGCTAGGCTGCCTGGCAAGCCACCCCTGAGGGTCTACCTGTCTCTGCCCCTCTGGCACTGGGATTACAAGAATGTGCCACCATACCCGGCCTTTTTACCTGGACTCTGGGGATCTGACACAGGTCTCCCTGTTTGCATTGCCAATATGTTCCTGGCTCGCTCTCTTTGCAGCCCTGGTGTCTGTTTTCTTCAAGGAACGGCTGGTGATGAATTAGAACCCCTCCTATATCAGTTACTTTTCTCAACACCGAGACCAAAACTCCTGACAAAGACAGCTTCAAGAAAGGAAGATTTATCTTGGTTCACGTTTTCAGAGGAAGGCTTGGTGGGGTAGGGTAACCCATGACTTTGGGAGCAAATGGTGGCTGGCTGGTCTAGGGAGCAGAGGAAGAGGCCAGAAACCAGGCCGAGCTGTGGTGGTAAAGGCTCGCCCCAAGTAACCCACCCCTTAGTGACTCCACAAATTCCCAACACAGCACTAGAGGCTGGGAACCAACTTACGCAAACACATGCATGAGCCCTGTGGGCAACATCTCAAGTTCGTGGCACAGCCCTTCTGACCTCACTTGACCTTACCCTCCCCGCAAGCTTGTGTCCAGCAGTTGCACTGGAAAACAGGGCCTGCTTTGATAGGTGCAGTTTATCT